CTTCACACCGTATACTGCCACCCGAAGTCCCCCGAGTTGGGTACTGGCTTCAGTAGAAGCTGCTGGGACTCCCAGCAGCTTATTGAAGCCTTCCGAGTAAATCGCCAGAACGCCGACACCTCCTCATCTCCACCACTCCCATGTTTTCTTTTGTGTTGCCATAAGTTAGTCTCTCTCCATTGGTGCGCGGGGCTAATGCTAATAGTGCTAATGCCAGCAAATACAATGGCGGCTTCAAAAAACCTTTCAGAGTTTTACGGGGCGTGGTTTACAATTTGCCCAGCCAACAGAAATTGGTACTGTTTTCTCCCCAGGATAGTCCCAACTCTCTAGCAGGCACTAAAAATGGGGGTAAAAGTTTTCTCAACTAAGTTCTCTTTTTGGTGTGAGCGCAAAATAAGAGGTACTAACGGAACCAAACGGGAAAAGTACTCCGGTGTGAACGCGCCTATTGAGTTCTTTGTAACCAAATCTCTCTCAGTGGGGCGTGGGGAAGGGCTCCTTATTTTCATCTGAAGTAACAGACAGAGAATCAGCACTTTGGAAACAGGGCTGAAACAGAGGGGATTATGGGTAATGCTACAACGATCTGCCAATCAGAGACATGTTTGTATATATCTGAGACCTAAAATATATTGATGAAAAACAGTATGATAGGGGACCTTTAAAACCTCTAAAATAAAGCCCACAGTCAGCATTCCTACAGCACCCGTTTAGCTTTACCTCGCAATATTCTTCACTCCTACTAAAAGCCCGATGTGACGATCCTTCACCACATCAACACTTTCCCTCCTCCTATAATGTTTGGAGCAAGTATTGGAGAGATAGAAACGTACCAACAGCAAGTCAGTAGTGAGATTTATGCACTGTTCTCAGATTGGCTATCAAACTGTCATCTTTCTCTCACTTGCAAAACATTTGAAAGGCTTTCATTATTATATTACACCGTGTTCATCGGTATGTGTGTCTAATATTTTATCTAGAAACACTCATTTAAAAGCAAAGATAATAAAACATGAACAACAAAGGTACATGAATGAAAGTCACAGTGCGAGACACACACATCTGAAATGTTTCGCTCTGACTCAATCATTGCCAACTTTTTAGCAGAAATAGTTTTCTTTGATCTCACTTTCTTTCTACTTTCTTTTTTAACGTATCCTTTCGTTATTTGAAGTGTTTCTGCAACCCAACATTCTGAGCGACCAATGAACTGGGTAGGTTTTGGCATCCTAAAATGTTTTAATGAAGTTAGTATTGGTTTGTTTACAGACCATATGACCCGTAATGAGACATTTCTACGGTGTGCGCAAACATCAGCAAATTGCAACACCTGCTTAAAAAGTACAATAACACTAATTTCCAATTGTTAAAGTGCTTGTTACATACGTAGTGGTGGATGAGTGTAAAGGGGTTTACTTCTATTTCATACTTCACACACAATATAGTTGAGTTTTCAGGGGACGGAGAGTCAAACATGGAGGACGTTTTTATAGTTGTATGTAACATCATAATCATATTTAAACTTTTCAAGACTTGGAAATGCTTATTTAGATGTAAAAAGCTCCTGTGGGTCTTCATACACTTCCCTCAACGGTTATATCATCTTATTTTTCAGCCAGAATCTTCCATTTAGTCTATTGTCTAGGTTTAAAACAGGCAGCCCTGCTTTAATGATCCCTTATAAGGCTGTTTCAAGCCCTTAGGGAAACGTTTCTCCATGTCGCCAGCAGCAGCATATTTGTACATGGGGCATTTACAGACCAAATATTGTTAGACGGGTACTTTTAACTTTTGAGCTTCGAGCTGTTAAGTTAAAAACCCAACAGTGGGTCTATTGGGATAAACAAGCCCATCATTGTCCATGTGGAAATAACCCTGGTTTGCAACCTTGAGAGTAACATGTTGTCGCTTTGGATGAATTAATGGTTCCACTGACTAACGCAATCAAGGACGTTTTTGTCGATTTTTATGAAGTTGAATTAAGTCCCTAGAGTCCCCCCCCGCAGCAGGATGTGCTTCTTTTGATCCTAAAATACTCATCTCTTGGCCCTATTTCGCCTTTGTGTGTCTCTCTGTTCAGTCGTTCCCTCGCTTTTAAAACCAGTCAACAATTGGCAATGCATTTTATTGATGACCCAGTTGAGCCAAGGTTTTATTGTGTGTAGCGAATAAAGATAATGGTGTCTTTCTCGGCTCGTTCCTTCTCCATCTTACTACGAGGACAAACGACCAATTCTGACATCTTGTTCTATTGATATACCAACTTGATAACCACCATTCCAATAACGACGGGCGAGCACCAGCTACCACTCTTTAATATGCTACTGTTTTCTAACCCTAACCCTAACCCTAGGTCCACAAACCAATGGAGTCTTGACACCCTTTTATTGTAAAGATGCTTCACTCTCCTATTTCCCAAAGTCAGCTATGGGTGCGTTTCAATTCTCTGATTTTTCATTTCCTCGCTCCTCTGGCTCGGTATCACCGGAAGTTGATTAGTCTGCGCCATCTTGAGTAGCGTCCCAGTGGCCTTATTTGTGCCGGAGGACCGAGGATCGAGGAACTACCAGACCATCCTCCGGTGAAATCCTCAGACACTCGCCCCGCCCCCTTACTGTGTGTCGCTCACTGATTGGACGATGCAGCGCATGCACTGATCTGGCTGCTGTCAGACGATCAGCTGTGCGGCGTCATCACAAACGGCCGTCGCTTCACGTGACGCTCCGGAGGAAACGACGTCCCATTGCTCTTAAAACTAATTTCCCTGCTTCTCGTGGTTTCCTTGCGTCTCTCCATGCTTCCCTGGTGGGAGGGACTAGTCGCAGGGTAACGACGCAAGTGAGGGACGCAAGGAATCCATTTAACCGAAGTGAAACGCACCCAAGGTCTATTCTAGAGAAAAGCAATGTTCGCCCCCTGCCCCAGGATGTGCTTCTTTTAATCCTTAAATGCTTGTGTTCATGTCTAACATCATCTCTTGACCCTATTTCCCCTCAGCCTTTGTGTGTCTCTCTCTGTTCAGTCGTTCCCTCGCCGACCAAAGTCTGCCTCTGCTGTCATAAACATAACTGTGAGATAAAAGGATAAACACAGGGTCGTATGAAGTCATCGCAGAAAGTCTGAAACTACACTGCATTTGATAAATGGGCCTGTTTTGTCAGTGTATACAATTAGAGTTTGAGGCTCACCACCTTGCAGGGCTTTAGAAATAGTGTACAG